CCCTGGAGGAGTAGGCGTTACGGCACCTAATACCACTGTACAATGTAACACTCAGTATTCACTATTTATGTTATAAGTCCCATGTAATAGGGGGTGAAGTGACCCTACCGGACACAATTCCAGAATCCGTGCTACCACTGAGATTTAAAAAAAAAACAGTTATATTTTGCCCGGCCCGGTAATCGAACCCGAGACCCCTTGCCCGGCAGCCGCACTTGCGACCACTCGGCCAACGAGGCAGTCTTCTCGTTATCTAAATTCTCAAAATCAAATAACTAATTCAACTTTTCAAATTAAATCGGAAACTTTTTTAAATCTCTACAATGACAGTCTGTCTGTCCGTCATGTCACCGAGTGCAAAATGAACATTCCTTAATCTGGATAATTTATAAATCTACTAGTTTCTGCCAGTGGCTTCGCCCGTGTACCCTTTTTTAAGGGAGGAAAATCATCCAATGATTTCTCCCGCCTAGGTGAGGCGAGAGGTAGTGTCAATCTCTTACTGACTAAAACCCACCCCGTTCCTACTCCTGCACTTCGAGCCGGAGCCCCGGTAACCCGTTAAGTTCTCCGCAGCTCCGTATAGGCATCAGCCCTATTGGGCCCCATCTCTGGTGGTTTGATGGCTTTTTGAGTACGTACGTGTGAGTACGCGTACGCTCGGGTCTGGTTCTGGTCGGGCGGCGAGTCATTCGTGCTCACCGTCCGCAGGCCCGCGCTTTACTATAGAACTATACACTCATTACTTAACAATATGAAGCTGAACAATTTATTTGTTTGTCTATATGCGTTAATCTCTAGAAGTACTGGTTCGAAATGAATAATTATATTTATGTTGGATAGTTGGATGTTGAATAGACCGCACGGTTGGTGCGGTGCCTGGGCAACTGGCTGCCGTGTATCAGATAGCGGGCTCGATTCCCGCACGGAGCAACTCTTTGTGTGATCCACAAATTGTTGTTTCGGGTCTAGTTGTCATGTATATGTGAACTTGTATGTTTGTAAACGCAACCACGACACAGGAGAAAATTCCAGTGTGGCACATTTCTAATTTTCTATTTCTTCTTTCTTTAAGTATATCGTATTTATTTTATTTTTTTGCTCGTCGCTGTCATCATCAATATATATCACTATTATAGTAAGTGAAAAACCCCACATTTTGACCGCAGGACCTTGTAAAAGCCTATAATTTAATTTCGAAAATTTCCGGGTTTTGCGTCCAATTTCAGAGGTCGACCGGACCTCATACGGGTCAATGGACTCGATACATACTGTCCATATTTCTTAGCCGTAAATAATTTAATAGTTATTTATTTACTAGCGACCCGCCCCGGCTTCGCACGGGTGCAATATGCATGTATTATACATACAAACCTTCCTTTAGAATCACTCTATCTATTAAAAAAAAACCGCATCAAAATCCGTTGCGTAGTTTTAAAGATCTAAGCATACATACGGACATACAGCGAAAGCGACTTTGTTTTATACTATGTATTGATTTGCAATATTTATGTAACATATAGTAGGACATGTAGTGGGTAATTGCACATTAGCCACTAACCGAGTTTAGGAATCTAATCCTTATCGCTAAGCTATTAAGGTCCACTATAGCTTGGCTGCGTAGCGGGATAGCAGGAAGAATGAAGAACGAAACTCGAAGAAATGAATAGTATTATTAGATAGAAGATAGAATATTATATTATAAGATTATAAACAAGCAAGCAAGCAACGTCTAAGCGCGTGTACATTAGTTTCCGTCGCCGATGTGAAACTGATGAAGTACCTCCGCTTACTGCGCGCACGCAAGTAATTGAAACATCGTATGATTTTAGCCCGCGGCCCCAAGCTCATAAGCGGCCGCGATTTTGCGCGCATTATAAGGCGGTGGTCCAAGTTGTAACTCGCTACATGTTCCCCCTGGCCAGACCGTTACTACGGTCGATAAAAATCGGGGAACTTCACTCGCCGTCCACTTCTTGTCCTTTTTTCTTCGTTTGCAGGGTCAGCAGCAGTGGTAAATGATTGCTCCGGAACTTCTTGTAATATGTAGGCCGGTTTTAGACGATCAACCGAAACATTGTTTGGCTTTCCTTGTAATTCGATTGTGAAGTATTTTCCGTGCCTCTGTAGAACCTTGTAGGGTCCCGCATATGGTGGTTCCAGTGACCGACGTACGTGGTCTCGTCGGAGGAAGACGTGAGTGGAAGAGTGAAGGTCGCGTGGCACGTAGAAGGGAGATGAACTATGCCAGGTAGTAGTCTTAGGCGTGAGGTTGGCCATGTGACGTCGTAGGCGGTGTGCGTAATCTGTGATGTCAGCTGTAGTGAAGTTCGTCTTCGAAGATATGAACTGGCCAGGAAGCTGTAGCGCCTCCCCGTAGACAAGTTCAGCCGGCGTAGCCTGGATGTCTTCTTTCCAAGAGTTACGCATGCCGAGAAGTACTAGTGGAAGAGCTTCAGTCCACTGCGAAGACGTGTGGCACATGATGGCAGCCTTCAGCTGTCGATGCAGTCGTTCCACCATGCCATTTGCTGCTGGATGGTAGGCTGTCGTGCGTAGGTGCTCTGTCCCCAACAAGACAGTGAGAGCTTTAAAAAGGTGGCTCTCGAATTGGCGGCCACGGTCGGTGGTCACCCGTGCTGGACAACCGAAGCGGGCCACCCAGTGTGTCACCAGAGTAGATGCGCAGGTTTCCGCCGTGATGTCTCTGATGGGGTACGCCTCAGGCCATCGAGTAAATCTGTCAATGACGGTGAGGCAGTATCTGTAATCAGATGAAGGGGTTAAAGGCCCTACAATGTCAAGATGAATGTGTGAGAAACGAGAGGATGGAGTAAGGTAAGAGGACAGGGGAGATTTGGTGTGACGTGTGACTTTACAAGTCTGGCATTGCATACATTGCCTCGTCCACTCTCTACAGTCTCTGCGAATCCCTGGCCATACATAGCGTTGTGTCACCAGTCGCACTGTAGCAGATTTCCCAGGGTGGTGCAAATTATGTAACGAGTTGAAGACATCTCTCCGCAGTGTTGGCGTTACATACGGGCGGGGTACTTGTGTCGATGTGTCGCAATAAACTGGTATGTTCCCATTGGCAGTAGATGCCACCTTCTTTAGTTTAAGTGCTGAACCATGAAGGAGAAGTTCTTGCAATTCTGGATCATTTTCCTGAAGTCGTGCAAGGGCTTCAAAGTTAATGGCAGTGGATACTTCTTCGATACGCGATAATGCATCAGCAACAACGTTCTCGCTACCTGGTAGGTATCTTATGTCGGTTGTAAATTGGCCTATATAGTCCAGGTATCGGAACTGTCTCGGAGGAAGGCTCTCTCTGTTGGATTTGAAGGCGTAGATAAGGGGCTTGTGATCCGTGAATACTGTGAAGTTTCTAGTTTCCACCATATGGCGAAAATACTTAATAGCTTCATACACTGCCAGCAGCTCTCTGTCGTAAGGGCTGTACTTCCTTTGAGCATTGTTTAGTTTGTGAGAGAAAAAAGCTAATGGTTGCCAGTCATTACCATTGCGCTGCTGGAGAACAGCTCCGATAGCTATATTTGATGCATCGGTGAAAATTGCCAACTTTGCAGATGGGTGTGGATGTGCCAGGAGTGTTGCTTGAGACAGTGAGGATTTGCAGTCTTCGAAAGCCGTCAGCATCTCTGGCGTCATTTGAACTGGATGCGAACCTTTAATCTTAGGGCCAGCAAGGGCTGTGTTTAACGGTGCCTGTAGTTGAGCTGCCTTTGGAACAAATCGGCGATAAAAATTCAACATACCCAGGAATCGACGCAGCTCCTTCACAGTTTTAGGTTTTGGGTACTCTTGGATAGCTTGCACCTTGGACTGACTTGGTTTTATACCTTCAGCAGACACACTGTATCCTAGGAAGGTTACCTGTTGCAGCCCGATGTTGCACTTAGCTGAATTGACGACAACACCATATTGTCTCAGGCGCTCGAACAACAATCGTAAGTGTTTCTTGTGCTCTTCTGGAGTTGTTGAAAATACCAGGATGTCGTCGACGTATCCGTAGCAAAAATCCATACCCAGCAGTACTTCGTCGATAAACCTTTGAAAGGTTTGAGCCGCGTTTCTCAGACCAAAAGTCATGAAAGGGAATTCATACAGGCCGAAAGGTGTAGTTATCGCGGTTTTCGGTATATCCTCAGGGTTGATAGCTATCTGGTTGTATGCCTTTACCAGGTCTATAGTTGAAAAAATAGTGCAGCCTGCTAGCTGGTGAGAAAAATCTTGAATGTGGCGGATAGGGTACCTGTCGGGTATTGTTCTCGCGTTAAGTGCTCTATAGTCTCCACATGGTCTCCATCCGTCATCTTTTTTTCTCACCAGGTGTAGTGGCGCTGACCAAGGACTCTCCGAGCGCCGTGCCACTCCACTTGCAAGCATCTGTTCGAACTCCTTCTTGGCAGCCTGCAATCGAGAAGGGTCTAGACGTCTTGGCTTGCACGCCACTGGTGGGCCTGGTGTTGTCCTGATGAAGTGCAAGGTACTATGTTTTCCAGGTTCCTGTTTCCCTGGAGGTCGTGTTATCTCCGGATATTCACGTAAGATTTGGTGGTAGTCAGAGTCGCCTACCACTGCCTTCAGCGAAACAATATCTACAGAATTGCAGTATGTTGCAGGTACAGATAATGATGTGAGATTGTCGATCAGTCTTTGATTCCTACAATCTACCAGCAGATTGTAGAAACTTAGAAAGTCTACCCCAATTATCGCTTTAGAAACGTCCGCTATGGTGAAGATCCAACTGTAATTCCTTCTAAGTCCTAAATTTAACTGAAGTTGTAATGGGCCGTAAGTGTGTATTACTGTGTTGTTTGCAGCTACAAGATCGTATTTTGATTGTTTATAGTGCTTCTTGAGAGCGGACCGGGGAAACACGCACAAGTCTGAGCCGGTGTCTACTAAGAATTGCATTTTTGAGGCCCGGTCAGTAATAAATAGACGGCCTGAAGAGATGGGGCAGTCGTTGGCCGCTACATGCGACCGCCCTTCTTGTTTTCCGCTGAGAATGAGCATGGCTGTTTACATTTTTGAGCTTTGTCGCCGTAGGTGAAATGATAAAAACAGTGTGGGTGGTTTTGTGGTGGTTGTTGTGGTCTGTGCTTTGAGCGTTCATACCTGCGGTAGTCGCAACGAGACCGTGATCGTGAGCGTGAGCGTTGTCTCTCTCTGTTACCCCAGCGTGACGTGAGCAAGGCTACCTGCTTAGTGAGCTCGCTCACTTGCTTTGCCAAGTCCGACGAATCAGTAGTCGTGGAGGCGGAAGTGCAAGCGATTTGTGGCATCATAGGTGCGATCTCCGCTACTCTGTCCGCTATTTCTGCTAATTGCTCCACCTGTAATTCGGTAATTTGAGAGGCGATTACAGTTTGTACATTTTGAGGTAACCGGGCTGTCCAGATACTTTTTACAAATTCTGCAGCGCCTGAAGGCCCTGCTAGTTTTTGTAGGTGCCTTAGAAATTGTGAAGGTTTGCGGTCACCTAATTCTTCATGTATAAGTAGCTGCTGAATACGCTTTTCTTGAGAAGCCGACAAGCGTTTTACTAGCTCTGTTTTCAACTTGTTAAACTTGTTTTCCTCTGGGGGATTAGTAATGATGTCACTGACATGTATGGCGTATTTTGTTTCGAGCTGAGTGGATGCGTAATAAAATTTCGTGGAGTCACTTGTGATTCTCGATAGAATAAATTGTCCCTCTAATTGTGCAAACCACAAAGCTGGCTCGTCCGGACAAAATGGAGGGCAGCGCAAAGGCATTCCAACTGCCGCTGTATGCCCCGAGATGACGGGAACATCCTTGCAATCTGCGTAAGCATCCGACTCAGCCATATTTAATTAAATTGAAAACGCTCACCGCTAGTCCAGTACCAACCACTCCACACTCTTGCTGTCTGGATCCTGGTCTTCGATCCTTTGTCCAAAACGTCGAGGGTCACCAATGTAGTGGGTAATTGCACATTAGCCACTAACCGAGTTTAGGAATCTAATCCTTATCGCTAAGCTATTAAGGTCCACTATAGCTTGGCTGCGTAGCGGGATAGCAGGAAGAATGAAGAACGAAACTCGAAGAAATGAATAGTATTATTAGATAGAAGATAGAATATTATATTATAAGATTATAAACAAGCAAGCAAGCAACGTCTAAGCGCGTGTACATTAGTTTCCGTCGCCGATGTGAAACTGATGAAGTACCTCCGCTTACTGCGCGCACGCAAGTAATTGAAACATCGTATGATTTTAGCCCGCGGCCCCAAGCTCATAAGCGGCCGCGATTTTGCGCGCATTATAAGGCGGTGGTCCAAGTTGTAACTCGCTACAGACATATTACCTCTATAGTAGGCCTTTTTTAAATGGAACAACCTCTCGAAACTGCTGCAACTCCTGTAAGCCAGGATCTGCAGTAGATATAACCATGAAAACACCGGAACACCGAAGGTAAAAACAGATTATTTACGCAATATGTGGTAATATCATTTTTGGGGAGCCAGAAATCTTAAGTGTCGTCGTTATCAGACGTCCAGAACACCAGAGGAGTCACAGGTGCGTTGCCGGCCTTTTAAAAAGGAATCATATCTGTTCGGAAATACCGCCGACGACAGATCATTCCACAGTTTTAGTAAATAAAAATATTCTTTAGTTTTTTAGAAATTAGTTATTAAATAATAATCTATCTAAAACCAAAATTTCTAGTTTAATCTAAGTAAGTATAAATGTGGGAGAGCCGTGCTTCGGCACGAATGAGCCGGCTCGACTGGAGTGATACCACGGCATGACACAAAACCGACGTGAAGCAACGCTGGCGTTGTGTTCCGTCGTGTGAGTGAGATAACCTGTGACCAAATTACCCTCCCCCCTTCCCCAATCTCCCCAATCCCTGAATCCCCAACGATCCTCAAACTCCTAATCCCAAAAGGCTGGTAACGCATTTGTAACGCCTCTGGTGTTCCAGGTGTCCATAGGCGACGCCGATTGCTTAACATCAGGTGATCCGTCAGATAGTTTACCGGCTTATGCCATAAAAAAATCGGAGCTCCGGTAACCTCACTTACGCGATACGCAACGTTTTAATTGCTTCACGCCGATTTTATTTTATGTGAGGCCGTGGTATCACTCGGGATCCAATGTGACCTTGACCAATGACGCTAAAACGTAAATTATCGAAATGTGTTGTTCATATTTAATCCAGTTTATTAAGAAGACAAACGTTCAGTCGTATATCGTTAAAGAGTTTTATAAGTTTGGAACATCGCCAGAGAATCGAATATAGACAATATAATTTACTAGACGGCTGCCTGGTAGGTCATAATGCGGCTGGGTGGCTCCCCGTCCGACCAGAAACAGACCCAAGCTTACGGCGCGTCGCGTTCCGCGCGCGCCTCAAAGAGCCATCAGACCACCACAGATGTGGCTCAATAGGGCCGATGCCGATTCGGAGTCGCGGAGAACCTAACGGGTAACCGGGGCTCCGGCTCGACGTGCAGGAGAAGGAACGGGGTGGTTTTTAGTCAGTAAGAGTCTGACACTCCCTCCCGCCTCACCCAGGCGGGAGTAGTCATTCGATGATTTTCCCACCTTAAAAAAAAAGGTCATAATGCGGCTGCCGAACTGTCTCGTGTTCGATGCTAGAGCAAATCCTGCGGCGAAAAGTGGTGGTGTGTGTGACACCTCGCCCTATAAGTAAGTGTAAGTTAGATATTAACTCGTCGAGTACCGGTTTTGTAGACACAATTATAGAACAATAGGTTGCGGTCACCGGTGACCGCTTGGTGTTTGACAGTTTAAGACAATTGATTAAAGTTATTCATTATAACAACACGTTTCCCTCATTGCATTTGCAAAGTACTATTTTTAAATTCTATGTAATAGCCTTCTGTTAAAGCTACAGTATGTCTTGTATGGCGCGATGGCCCGAGGATTAAGGACTGCCTCTCCGGCATGAGGGTGTGGATTCGAAACCTGGCGTTACTAATGTGACTTTTTCCAAGCTACACGGAGCTTGACATACGGTGAAGGAAAACTTTGTGGAGTTAATTTATAATTATAATTATGTTTGAAATCGCTAATGCACCTTGAACAAGCATGGTGATTAATTAATGCATGAGTACTACATGGAGAAGGACCTCTCTTTCTTCGTGTCAAAAAAAGTAATTGCTCATCAGAGGACACTTATGGGAGACAGGCGTGAGGATATGTATCAATATGTATTTTTTTATATCATAATCCAGTGAACGAACAGACGGATCACCTGATCGCCTATGGACACTCGAAACACCACGGCGCGGCGTTACAAGTGCGTTACCGGCCTTTTGGGAATTGGGAATTTGAGGATTGTGGCGGATTCGAGGATTCGGTAGACAGGGACTAGGGAGGGTAACTGGGCCTCCGGTAACCTCACTCACATGACGAAACACAACGCAAGCGTTGTTTCACGTCGGTTTTCTGTGAGGCCGTGGTATCGCTCCGGTCGAGCCGGCCCATTCGTGCCGAAGCATGGCTCTCCCACACTTAAAATATGTATGTATGATTGTAGCAGTAAAAAATGCCTAAAGCCCTAAATCCGAGGCATTAGAAGTCACACCAAAACTGTCCACTTCAACTCATAAAAGCAATAAACAAGTAAATAAAACACAATAATAACATATTTTATTGACTTACATAAAAATTGTATCAACATAATATTAAATGCGAATTCCTCAAAGTGAATTCCGCAGCAAATAAATTATATTAAAGGACCAATTTAAAAAGTTGAAGAGGGGAGAAAAAAACTTGAGTATGGCAATAATATTCCCTTTTTATATGCATGGCAACACTCCACCGTGCCCGCCTTGGACTCGCTAAAGAGCTTAATTTGCCGCTCTTTTTTTCTTTTTAAATATTTTTTTAATTGAAAGAGGTTCTTTTGAGTTAATATGTAGTCTTTTTGCTTTTTTTAGAGATAATAATTATTGTTATTAATTATGGTGGTTTTTAAGAGTTTTTAAAAGGAAATGTAATTGAACTTTAGGTAGGCTTAGATTTTTATGGGAAGAGCTTATTTTATGGCTTAGGTACAAATAGTAATGAATGTAAACTAAGAAGCATGTAAAAGTAAAGGTAAATTTGTTATTATGTAAACCCATTATTTATTTACTTACATAACACTGTTATGTTATGTTTAACATAACATCACGCCTTTTATCCCCGAAGGGGTAGGCAGAGGGGTGCAGCCACTGTACCTACAATGTAACACCCACTTTTCACTATTTATGTTATGAGTTCCATGAATTAGGGGGTGAGCCTATTGCCATTTACCGACCGGGCTCATTTCCAGACTCCGTGCTACTACTGCGATTTTTTTAAAAACCCAGTAATACTTTGCCCGAACCGGAAATCGAACCAGAGACCCCTTGCCCGGCAGTCGCACTTCCACTCGGCCATCGAGGCAGTCTTTTTTATTTTTTTGTAAATTAGAATGAAATCTAAAGCGTTTTTATTTTATTTATAACAAAAGAACAGGCCAATCATCAACCCCATCGCGGAGAACCTAACGGGTTACCGGGGCTCCGGCTCGACGTGCAGAAGGATCGGGATGGTTTTTAGTCAGTAAGAGTCTGACACTCCCTCCCGCCTCACCCAAGCGGGAGCAGTCATTCGATGATTTTCCACCCATTATCAACCCCAAAAGATCCGCAACGCATTTGCAACTTCTCTAGTGTTGCGAATGTCCATGGACGACGCCGATTGCTTACCATCAGGTGCTCCATGCTCATCCATCTGCCCGTTTGTCGACCTTTTCAATAAAAATAAATCTTTACTTAATATTATAAAGAGGAAAGATTTGTACCTACTTTTGTATGTTTGTAATGAATAGTCTCGAAAAGTACTGGGCCGATTTAAAAAATTCTTTCACCAATAGAATGCTACATTCTTCCAATTTAACATAGGCTACATATCATTTTGAAAAAAAATACGGATCCTTGGTAAAATTTGAACAATGTAACCAAAGGTGTAGAAAAATGAGTCTTAAAATGTCTTTCGTCGAATGCGCTGCCGAAACTATAAGCGATAGAACAGAATAACGTACAACAATATTGAAGAACATCATATTGTCTACAAAAAACTTCGCGGTAGCATATGTCCAACTATTGTAGTTATGTCACTACAGCAATCCAAATTTCCAAAAATAAATAATTGTCTACCCCGTGCGAAGCCGGGACGGGCTGCTAGTCTATTATATAAATAAAACTCTTGCACTTAAATCCAATGTTTGTTTATGTATTGTATAGGTATTATAATAAAACCGTGTGTTGTTTTCAGTTCTTTGTTTCGTAATATTCAAACAAAAGCAAGGTCTAGTTCTTCTATTTTGATACATAATAATATTCGCACGTACTTCGTGTACTCAATTTACACCGCCGCAGATTGGAATGGAAGTGAATGAAACTGTACACAGGATAATGAACTTTAATCATCAACTGTATACAGTACCTATTTTTTTTAAGTGGGGAAAATCATCGAACGACTGCTCCCGCCTGGGTGAGGCGGGAGGGAGTGTCAGACACTTACTGACTAAAAACCACCCCGTTCCTTCTCCTGCACGTCGAGCCAGAGCCCCGGTAACCCGTTAGGTTCTCCGCGACATACGCGGTATGCTATAGCACAAAAATTAATTACGAGTCAAACAATTCTTGCGCATTCTCGAGAATTTCCTTGGTATTTCATAAGTATGTTATAGAGTTGATTATAAAGTTCATAATGCAGTGTACGGTTTCATTGTAAAAAGTCGCTATAACATGCCAATCCGCGGCCGTGTAAATTGAGCTAAAGTACATTTTTTCACGGAATAAGCC